TTTGCACAAGTGTCAACTGGGTGGAGCGAGAGCTTGTAATCGCTCATGCCATGGCGAAGCGAGGATGTCCAAGATGTATTGGCGTCTGCGAGAGGATGATCAATCCTGTGGCGCCGAATCGAAATGCCAAGGAAGTGATGCGAGGGGCCAAGGTCCTTCATGGCGAACTCCTTTTTCAATGCAAAGAATGACACGGTGAAGGAGCTGCTTTGTGATGAAGCTGTGAGGACAATATCGTCCACATATAAGAGCAAGTAGACAGTCTACACTACCATGGTCTGTATATGAAGAGAGAAGTGTCGGACTTGGCTTCAGTGAACCCCAAAGAGATCAAAAAAGAAGCAAACCGGTTGTACCAGGGCCCATGAGGGCTTGCTTTAAGCCGTAGAGGATTTGTTGAGCCGCGCAGACATGCTCTGGCGAGGCGTAATCAAGAAAACCGTAGGGGTGAGAGCGAGAGACGGTCTCTCTAAAGTGTGTGCCATGCAGGAAGGCGTTCTTCACATCAAGTTGATGAATGGGCCAATCCTTGGAGTGTGCTAGTGTGATGACTGTTCGAACAGTGGCTGGCTTGACAACCGGACTGAAAGTTTCATCATAATCAACACGGGGGCGTTGAGTAAAGCCCCGAAGCACCCAACGAACCTTGTAGCGTTCCAAAGAGCCATCAGCATTGAATTTGTGTTTGAAGATCCATTTCCCAGTAACCACATTGGCCTTGGCAGGACGGGGGACAAGATCCCAAGTGTGGTTGGCCTGAAGTGCTGCATATTCGTCTTCCATGGCCCGGCGCCAATGAGGATCAGCAAGAGCATCACGGCAGGACCACGGGAGTGGAGAGAGGGCCTCAGCATGCAGGGCGAGACGAGGCTGCCGGTACCCTATTTTTCCACGGGTCGCCATACTATGGGAGTTGGCGACCGGCGGAATGGAGACAGCACCATCAGGGACCGGAGGGTTGCTCTTGACATAGCGCGGTGGAGACGGGATCATGCTGGAACATCGAGTAGAGAAGCCACCGGCGCCGAGAGCAGCGGGCGGGGGACAGAGCACGCTCTCAGAGACGTGAATGATGGACGGCTTGTGGCGAGTGGTGCGGGGAGCGCGTCGAGCAGTGCCCCACCGGACACGGCGGCCAGGCTGTCTTTGGAGAGGAGGTGCCTGGTCGAGGGCCCCGAGACATGGGCGCTGAGCAGGGGACCCCCCCGGCCCCGAGGTGTCGACAGAGAGGGGAAAACCGGGAGGCCGGGAGGAGCACGCGCCAGGAGGTGGTGATCGGGGCCAAGAGCTCCGGATGTACCTGCAGGGAAGAGGAGATCTTGGGAGAGCGTCGTCGTCGCTTAGAAAATCAAGTTCCCCGCAGGGGGGGGAGGGCCATTTGTGGGAAAAAGAAACGTTGTCTCATCAAGACAACGTGGCGGGAAATGATGACCCGTTAGTGGCGAGGTCAAGGCACCGTAGCCCTTGTGATCCGGTGGATAGCCAAGGAATGCACAGAGAGTAGAGCGAGGGCAAGCTTGTGGGGAGCGATGGTAGAAAGGTTAGGATAGCAGTGCACCCAAACGCCAAGATCATGATAGGAGGGAGGCTGCCATGGAGGGCGAAGAAAGGGGTGCTCATGTTTAGAGTTTTGGTGGGGAGGCAGTTGAGAATATAGGTGGCAGTGGCAAGAGCATCAGCCCAGTAGACAGGAGGCATGGAAGCCTGGAAGAGGAGGGTGCGGGTGATGTTATTGACGGTGCGCATCATGCGCTCGGCTTTCCTGTTTTGCTACGAGGTATAGGGACACGACATGCGAAGAGTGGTGCCGTGAGCAAGGAAGAAAGCGTGGGAGGCAGAGTTGTCGAATTCGCGACCGTTGTCACATTGGACTGATTTAACAGTGCAACCGAATTGTGTGGACACATGAGCAAAGAAAAGGGATATAGTGGGAAAAGCATCGGACTTAACACGAAGAGGAAAAGTCCACAGAAAGTGGGAGCAATCATCAAGAATGACTAAATAATATTTAAAACCAGAGACACTAATAGTAGGAGATGTCCACAGGTCACAATGAATTAAATCGAAATTCTTGGATGCTCTAGACATGGAGGTAGCAAAAGGGAGGCGAGTATGACGCCCAAGCTGACAAGCATGGCAGAGGGAGTCGTCTGCAGGCTTGCTGCAGACAATGGAGGAAGTTCGAGCAAGGTTCTGAAGAGTTGCCTTGCCGGGGTGCCCAAGGCGCCGGTGCCAAGTAGTCGGAGGAGTGGCGACAAGGGCGCACGACCCAGCGGTGGATGACGGCAGTTGTAGGGTGTAGAGGGGCCCTGTGCTGTTACATCTGAGGAGGGTGTTCCGGGTGCGGAGATCCTTCACAGAAACACCAAGAGGGTCAAATTCGACGGAAACGAGATTATCAGTAGTAAATTTTCGAACAGAAAGAAGATTTCTAATGATATCGGGGGCTATAAGGACATTATCGAGGCGAAAGGGTCCGGGAAGGACAGAATAGCCGGTGCCAACAACAGGAAGAGTGGCACCGTTGCCCACGATAATGGAGGAAGGAAAAGAAGAGGAGGGTGATGCGGTGACCATACCAAGGTTGGCAGTGATATGGGAGGAGGCACCCGAGTCGATCACCCAGTCGGAGGAACTTTGCGGCGGGGTGAGGGAGACGGTGCTGAAGGCGCTGGCGAGACCCTCGGGCGACCATGGCACCCAAGCGGGAGACGCCTGCGGGTAGTAGGTCCCGGAGCCTGGTGGTGGAGCGAAGTAGGCAAGGGGCGCCCCGGTCATCAGAGCCTGCTACGGAGGAGCGGGCTGGACGGCGCGTGGTGGAGGACCACGAACCCCACCGGCGGTGGATCCTGGCCACATGTGAATGGAGCCAGTCCACGGATTGAGGAGCGACGGCCACTGCGATGGAGGAGTGGCAGAGGGGGTGCTGCTTTGCGCACTACCCGGAGATCCACCAGAGCCGCGCCCGTCGCGGCGGCGTCTGCCGCGGGTGTTGCTAAAGACCTGGCCAGCGACAGTCTGTCCAGCAGCAGCCTGAGGACGAGGAGGCGCAGGTGACGTCGGGGTGGGCGCCTTGGTGGAGGCGGCGGTAGCGACGAGGGCCGAAGGAGGGGCGGAAGGTGTCCCCATGTTGAGTTCAATAGCAACCGAGGTCAAGCCACGAGACGTCGGCGAAGGGTGGGGCAACGGCCTCGGCGTGTGATGAGTTGGGACATGAACTGAAACCGTTCATTGAGTCCTCGCAAAACGTTGAGCACCAAAGTACGGTCCAGGACAGGCTCGTCGAGATCGGCCAGGGCATCTGCCATGCTTTTCATTTTGCGGTAGTAGTCATCGACGGAGAGGGCACCTTGACAGAGGGTGCGAAACTCGGAGTCGAGGAGCATGGCGCGAGATTCGCGGTTGTTGAGGAATTGTTGCTCAAGTCTGAGCCAGGCCTCCCGGGCAGTAGGGGCGTCGTGCTCGTGGATGACGTCCAGGAGGTCGGCGGAGATGGTGTGGAAGATCCAGGACAGGACGACACAGTCCATGCGCGACCATGCCAAATCGTAGGGGCAGGGAACGTTGCTGAGGACGTGCTCCTTCAACGCGAAGCGACCGAGGATGAGGAGAACATAGCCACACCACTTGGAGTAGTTGGAGGCTTGAAGATCAAGAATGATAGGAATTAAGTTCTTGATGTTCTGGACTGCAGCCGCCTGACTGTGGAGGCGGGCGACGGCCTCGGTTTCAGAGGAAGCAGAGTAGGTGTCCTCGGCGTCGGCGTCGGCGTCGGCGTCCGGGAACTCGATGCGGACTCGAGTCCGGAGGGCCGCGGCTTGCTGCTCCAGGGCGTCAGCCGCCGCGCGCTCCTTGTCCAGGGCGTCGGCGGCGGCGCGAACGCACTCCTAGGCGTCAGCGGCGGATTTGAGGATGGTGGCCGCCTCCTCGAGCTGCTGGCTGCGCTCGGAGTTGGTTGAGCGCAGGGAGGCCTCGTCTTCCAGGCGCTTGGCCGCCGAGAGGGCTTCATCGCGGAGCTTTGCCGCAGCAGCCGCGGTAGAGGAGCCAGCGGCAGCCATGGGCGCGCGCAGCGGCAGCAGGGGGCGCGCGGGCGTGAGAGGAGAAGAATCGCACAGCGGCGGCAGGACGCGCGCGCGAGGAGGGAAGGTAGCGGAAGCGGATGGATCGGGATTAGTCTGATACCATGATAGACAATAGCCTAACAGACTTAGATTACTTGAAGATGGAGATTACAGGAGGATTACATATATAGAGAGGAGGATGGCCCAAGGGGTCAGCCAAGTCCCCAAGAGTCAAACCGAGACCCAAGGGGCCAGCTGGGTATTAACCTGGCACAGGAAGCTAGATTACACAAGTAACTAGGTGATTACACTAAATAGCAATTAATTCTAACAGGTTCAAGCTACAGACTGGTATAATCAAGAGTCAAGAGACCATGCTAAATGACAGTTGAGATAAAGGAAAATGCAAAAGGCATACAGAGTATGTGTATCAAACTGCATAAACAGAAATACAATCAATGGTCTGGGTAAGTAGCGCTCATGTTCATCAGGGGAAATACTTATTGAGAGCCCATGACCACCAGGGCCCTTAGCTTGCCACCAGAAGCATGATCTCCCAAAATCAATTCAGAAGCCCATCTCCATACAAGCATACACCAAACATTACTCAGTTATTGTGATGGCAACTTTATTTCATCAATAGTTGCACTGAAAAAAGAAGAAAGTAACATTACTAGAACAAACAACAAGCTCCAATCAGGATTATCCTTAATTGAAATTAATAATTAGCACTATTTTGACAAAACATAAGCCACAGTTTACAAGGACCAGCAATCATGTCTACATTGACAAATCATTCAGGGGATCACAATTTGAAATAAAACTTTATTATGCACCAGCCAGAAAATAGCCAACATGGTAACATGGGAACTTTGTTGTTTTCAGAGAGGGAGCATCAACAGCGCCAACTCTAACTCTCTCAGAAGTCCCAAGTTCCGCTCATGCGTCTGCTTCCACAAGGACAAAAACTGGCCTGTCCCCAAGCTTGTCTCGGCCCTGAATACATGTTGTAGTTAGAATAGTAGACAACATAACTCTCATGATAAGTAGTGTCAGTTTTTTCCTAGTAGATTAGAATGATTGTTTAGAGTGCAGAATTCCTGCATCTATGATGGTAGTGCCATTGACTGTGCTTGAAAAATTCGATTAGCTGTTTTTTTTACCCTTTCCTACTCACTTAAAATTTACAAAAACAAAGTTTTCAGGGTCTATTTGGTTCCAAAAGAAACTCCTAATAAGAGCATGAACAAACTACACGTGGTATATGCATAATATTGTCTACAGCTGACCAGGGAAATTGATGTATCAAAGAAGAATATACCTTCAGTTCTGGTAATTCAATGACACAAGCACACTCAACAACCTTTGCTCCAACACGCTCTGAAAAGGAAAAGGGATACAGATGAAGTAAATAAATTATCATACAACAAATCACAGGAAAACGATGTCAAATGATACTTAGAATGCCGGAAAGTACAATTCCCTGAAAGGCATATACAGCAGCAGAGCTTGCCGAAGAAATAGGTGGGGGGCAGGACTTAAAATAAGATGGTTATGTTAGTGTATAATTAAGACTTAAGTAGTGACACTAAGCATATCCTTCAACAGCTTTTGGGGATTCGGGATGGGTGGGAGGAGAGGGAGAGGAGGCTGGCCAGCCTAGCTTCAGAGAAGCTCCTCCCCTGTAACAACAAATTAAAGCTCATAAAAAATCGTTTAGATTTCTTGTCCCAAAAGCTAGAACTGTGAGAGAAGGGAACTGTCACCATGAATTTATAATTATGCAGCTTCAGAAAAATTAAAACATCATTTAAAATGTTTTTTATGATAAAAGAGGATTTAGATAACTGTGGTAGGACACTGTATCCACAGTAACAAAATACAACACAAAATGAGCTCACCAATAAGTTTGACAGCTGCACAGAGTGTTCCACCAGTGGCAATAAGATCGTCGACTACAAGAGCCCGATCGTTGGCCTGTACAGCTCCAACATGCATTTCTATTTTGTCAGTTCCGTATTCCAAAGAATACTCTTCGGAGATCACCTCGCCTAGTAGATAGATGAAAGAGTGTCAGCTATTTCATTCACCATGAGCTCATTAGTAACGGTACAACAACAACAACAGAGCTACAAAGTTAATGACGGATATGCAGACCTGGCAACTTCTTTGGCTTCCTCAAAGGCACAAATTTTGCACCGATGGCTAAAGCGATAGGAGGACCGAAAATGAACCCTCTAGCTTCAACACCTGTTTTAATATGGCACCAAATACGAGAAAATGAGGACCACTGAGCATATAAGACTACCCATTTCGTTGCTTATACGATTCTAAAGTTTTGTATTGAAAGCTCGTATAGTCAGTGTCCAGAAAGGAAGGAACGACTATTACCAGCAACTACGGTGATACCCTGGTCCTTGTACCGCTCAACAAAGAGATCGATGGTGTCACGGAACGCCTTGGGGTCGAGCAGCAACGTCGTGATGTCCTGGAACATGATCCCTATACAAAAACAAAGCAGCCCATAATCAATTAGAACGAGCAGGCACAGTAATTATCCGCACACAGAGAAATCTAGATTGTTGTTTTGCAAGACCGAGCGGTGGTAACTAAATAGCGTGTCGTACTGTCGTGTCAAAGGTGCTACAGTACTTGTTTGTAACAGGGCATGAGAAATGTTTGTACTAGAGCCCCCCAGTGTGCAAGAATCGAGGTGTGAGTAGAGCAGCACGCGCTTTGCACGCGAAAGGCAAATAAAGCCCAAGAAAAGTGCTACTCTACTCCTATAGTTTTACTAGAAATGTACGCAGTGACGCGAGTTTATCAGTTCATTTTATAATTTAACCCCGACTCCCCAAGAAAAGTGCTACTCAATACTCCTACAGTTGCAGTAAAAATATAAGCAGGGACGCGAGTTTATGCAGTAACGCGAACTCCGAAATCCCGAATACGAAGCTGACAGATCGAATCGACTCAGCATTCATCCAGCAACCCGTCCGCCCACGCGAGCGATCCGGCAGGAGGGCTGTCGAGACAGAGCGTAGGGTACGGAAGCGGGGGTGAACCAACCCACCTGGCTTGGGGAAGTCGGGGATGACGCGGATGGAGGAGGCGATCCCCGCCAAGCGCGCGTCGGCGGACGCCATGGCCACCACGGCCCTCCCTCGCCTCCCGCCGGTGACGCGCACGCTCAGTGGAGCCGCGACGCTGACGACGCGGGGACGAAAAGGCGGCGCCGACGCGGACGGGACGCGAGGCTGCTGGCAGTGAAGGAAGAGCATGCTCCGCTCCGCTCCGCTGCTCTTTTATTGTATCTGGGCCTTCCCGCGGGCCGCGTTGGCCCGTGTCGGATATAACCGAGCCCGGGAGCCGTCTCCGTCCCTGACACGCGGGGCCGAGCAGTCTGTCCGGCCCCACGGACCCAGTGGCCCGCGTGAGGGAGGGAGGGAATCGAGACCTTTGCTTTGGGTACGCGTGTTTGGTGGGTCCCACGCGGCGTGGAGTGGGGCCGGGGGCGGCGCGGTTCGTGCCTCCGTCGGAACGACGACACGCGCGCGTGGGGTTTGTTGGTCGGATGACATGTGGGGCCGGGAGGGACCCGCGACGCCAGGCGGCTCGTCTCATGCGGCGGCCGGAAAGAGGGCCTACTCAGCAGCCAGCGGTGCTGCTGCAGGTCATGCAGCCGAGCTTTGACTTGGCCATTGTGTGGCGTGGCCGCACCATGGTCTAGTACTCACCAAGGACTCTAGTTCCATTTCCATCCCAAAAAATATAGGTTTTGGTCATGGCCACATCATTAACAACTGCGAAATTAGGCATTCGCCTGTACAGGCTTTACATGCACTCGTGTTCACATCAGTAAAAATGCCTAATTTTTCACATGTATGTTGAACCAACACACCAGTATTAATATATTAGGCATCCTAGTATGTTGAAGTGGATTAGAGTAAAAAAATTATTAATTTTTTACCTCAGTACATGTAGATTGTGCATCCAAACAAGATCTACCTAGGATCTGGACTGGACAGGGACAGCTAAAAGTCTGCATAAACATGGAACTGTTTTGCATTCCAATTTCCACATCTTCCTTTACATTAGAAAAAAGAAAGATGAAGACAAATATTCGATTGAACAACATGGAGTGTATATACAGAGTATATTGTACAGATGGTACAGCAGATATAAATTAATCAGCAAAAGAGATTGTTGCACTGAAATGGGTCCTAATCCTCCCTAAGCAGTTCGACTGTACTAGGAGATGCGTGAGACCTGCACGTTGCTGTTAGCTGACGGCTAACTAGTTACACAGAATGTGTTATGTATGTACACTAGTTTAGGTGATATGTCAGTCCGCTGTGTCATCGGAAGGATGAAATGCTTGGCGATGTGTCCGGGCTGGGTGATGTCAAACTGTCCTTTGCCCCTGTGCTCAAAGACGATGAGTTGCTCCGGAGCTCGGACAGACGGGCTTTTTCACGCAATAGTTTGCACTGCATACAGCATACGTTGCAAATGTTGAGTCAGTCGCATGAAAACATGACGGCTGTGGGTTTAACTGTTTATATCAAGTGGACACAACAAGCCAGGCAAGGAAAAAAAAGAAGTTGTGTTCTTTTCAGGACCAAAGTACTCCAGTTATATCCCTCCCACCCAATATAAAGATTCAGTCAGTTCAATTCAGAAATGAATTACCACATCATTACCAACCAGCAAATATGAAGAGTCAATTAGCTCAATTAAAAAATGAGTTGCCACACCATTACACACCAAATATGAAGAGTCAATCAGCTCAATTAAAAACTGAATTACCACATCATTACCTTTAAATTTAGATCCTCAACTTCGCCTTCCAAAGAAGCAATACGGCACTGGAGCTGATTTAAGCATTCCAATGCTTTCAGAAGACTAGCGTCAGTTTCAGAGTTCGTAGCTCCAGCAACCTGTACAACAGCAGGATTAGTGCTTGGCCTTGTAAATCTACCAAACCAGTATCAAGTGCACAATAACATTACTTCTTAAGTTCCTAGTAAGATATTCATGTATACCTTCAGAATACTGGAGCATAAACTTGATAGATTTTCTGCCAGTTGATTTCTATCTTGTTCGCTCTCCTGTTCACAGTCAGACTGTTTGTCAGTGCCATCAGTCTTCACACCTTTTTTGCATAACTATTTGACAAATAAAAAGAAAGCAGACACACATATAATTTCTTCCTCAGAAGCTCTTCCTCTTCTATCTGTTCGTGTGGATCTTTTCCATCTGAAACCCTGTAGCGGGCAAGCTCTTCCTTTGTTCGGGTAAGGATGACCCCCAGCTGTTTCAGCTTTGCACTTAGCTCTTCATTCTGCCGTTTCAGCAGGATATTCTCTTCCTGTTCAGTGGTATGAAGATGCATAGGATGATCACACAGGGAAACACCAATGTTCACAAAAGCCAAATTAAGTACCAAAAATAATCATTACCTTTGTTTTGACATGGTGATTTATTCGAAGCTGAAGATTCTGTTGTCTGGTAAGGTTCTTCCTTTCAGCTTCAAGATTAAGAATGATGGTTTTGTAGTTCGAATTCTCAGCCTACAAATTACCAACCAACAGCTATTACTAAATATACCATAAGGAGAGAGGAATAAGAATGGTCCTTTTGCAATAGAAAAGTGAGTTTATGTACCTTTGACAACTCTATTTCAGCTACCATAAACTGTTCTCGTTGTCGTAATTTCTCTATAGTAATGCGGGCAGTTCCTAGTTCTGATTGTTTCTGGTTTATTTCGTCAAGCCAACTGTACCATAAAATCAACATGTCGTCACTATGACCTATTATTGAGATGCTAAGAGCTCACAGATAGTGAAGTATCTACCTCTGTCTCTCTTCAATCAATTCATCAAGCTGCTTCTTCAACTTCATCATCTCATTGGACTGCTGAACATATATGTTAAAATAAATGCTAAGAAGGAAGATTAATTGACAAAAACTATTATGCAGAACTTACCTCTTTACTTTCCTGTGCTTGAGAAGTAATCGACTCTTTTGTCTCCAGCTTTTGCTGGTTGTCAGCTAGAGCCTGCAACATAATTGGTTTAGATGCATAACTGAAAATATTTTACAATGAATGAGGTACACAAATCCGTATACCTACCGCCCAAGTTGTCATGTTCATTTTAACCCCAAGCATATCACGAATCACATCATGCGTCATGCTCTCTGTTGTTGCTAATTTCGCGTTCAACATGAATATCTTCAAACAAAATAACATATATAGGTTGGCAAAATAATAAAAAGTAGGAAAAAAGAAGTGAAAAGCTAAGAGTAACCTCACCTCCCTTTGTCTACTAGCTGCAATGCCCTCGAGTTCCACAATACGTTGCTTTGCAGCACTAAGCTCTTCATCTTTCTCAGAATTCATTTGCTGTACAAAGCCGATGCCGATACATTTAAATGGAGAACCTGAACCCCGAGGTTTTGAGTTAATCTTCTCTTGTCTCCCGGAGCAAGCATGTGCTGAGGAATTGTCTGTCTTAACCTGTTGTGCCATGACCTCCAGCTCCATCAACTAACCAGATCATTTTTCATTAGTTTTATTTTGATTATTAATAAGTTGAGTTCTTCAAAATAAACAGACACACAAAGTGCTTACCTTGCGCTTGTATTCTTGTGCCGCTGCCTCAGCATGAATGTTTATCTCTGAGATATGTTCCTTGCACTGAGCAATCTATACAGAGAAAAAAAAATAGTCCTGAAATCTATAACATGGACTACACTTTACAGCAGTAAAACGAATGCATGAATGACTAATAAAACCTTGCAAGTGAGCTGGTAAACAATTAACGAATCTGTGATTACCTCTGCTTCCTTCTCAGAAACCTCCTTTCCAAGTATTCTAATAGTCTCCTGAGCACAGAGAAGCTCATTATGCATATCTGCTGGGTGCCTGCAAGAGAGTCAGGTTGAGTGGTAACTGTTTCTCTTACAACTGTAAATATATGTAGCTTGTAATAGAACTGATAATCATACAAACCTGGATGAGTCAGCTAAATCAACCACTTCATCTTCCATATATCTCCTTGCTTTCCCAGAGGGTGGAACAGCTAGCATTTGTTGCCTAACTTTCTGCAGCTCAACTTCTAGTTCTTCTCGCTGCATTCTTTGCCGCTCTGCTTCTTCCTTGACAATGTCCACCTTAGGAGAAATAGCCAAAATTAGTGTTGAGAAAGAATAAACGTTCAAAATGATGACAAACAAAATTGAATGGTTAATCGACACTTAAATAAAAAAGGCAGCACAACTTACTTCGCTTTCTAAAGTACATACAGTATTCTCAAGTACTTCAATTGACCTCTCCAATACCTTTACTTCTTCATCCTTCCCTTCAGCATATGCCTTATGTTCCTCAGCTATCTGCAATTTTCAATGGAATTGGGACAATTATATTCGCAGAAACAAGAATTAAAAAACATTTCAATGAATACACATCAATTTAATAATAATCAAATAAGTTCTAAGTACCTGCCGAGATTCTGTAGCAATTGCTTCACTTTCTTCTGCAAGTGACTGAGCCATCTCCAGCTTTTCTTTCAAGATAAGCAACTCAGTGTCACATGATGCCTTTTCATCTGAGAGTTTGGAGAAATCATTTTGCAAGCTCTGAAGATAGACATCCCTTTCATCAATTAAAGTTCTCAGTTCAATCAACTTTTCTTCAAGTCTTCCAATGACTTCACGTTTATCAGCTAACTCCTCCATAGTGCAACTAATCTCTTCAATATACTGGAGCTGTGATTTTAGTTCAGCATTCTCCATAGAAACCATGTTTAATTCATCAAACTTCTTTCCCAGTTCCTCCTCTAGGGCACCAACAGTTTCATTACACTTCAAGATTCTTGCTTCAATTTGTTGCCTATCAGAAACGATATCATCAAGTTCAAGCAACTTACATGCAAGCTCTTGTTCCAAAGATTTTATTACTTTTCTCAACTCTGTAATCTCAGCTGCTTGATCTTTTGCAACAGATGCAGACTCTTGTAACAGGCTAAGATCAAATGATAAGCCCTTTGTTAATTCCTCTTTCCTGATTAATTCTGATTCGAGAAGAGAATTCTGGGTGCTTAATTCCTGCGCTGATACTTCAATGATGTCTAACTCATTGGATAACTTGCTCACCATGTTAATTTGCTCAGAAATGTAATTGTGCACATGATCAGTAACCAGTTGCAAGCGGCCTTCAATGGTGACAAATAACTTATCAGCTTCAATGTTAGCCATTAATTCAACCATGCGCTGATCC